ACAATTTGTAACCAAAACTTTAATCCCAAGTATTCTCACAAAACATATTACAAATGACAGCAAGAAAAAAAAAATCTTGCACAGTAACTCAAAGTTCAGCTCTACAATGTACACTTAAACTAGCAGGACATTGGTATATTGAATAGTCTCAAATTTCCAAATAATATTACAAAGAGCTATGTATTCATATACAGCAATCACAGAAGGAACTTATGACCTAAAGCAAAGGTAAACTAACTTTCTTGAAACTTCTTAGATTCTAAACCCACCGGACAACCTCTTGTCTGGGGTGAAGACTAGTGAAATTTTTAAACCTCTAATCTAGTTTAAGGGTGCAGCTTTTATTTTTACCTGCTGGCTTGTGTTCACAGCAGCTTTTAAAGACTGCTTGCTTAACTACAGCTGCATATCCCAGCTACAGAAAGTCTTTTCAATTTTTGCCAGTTTTGTTTCCATAATATTAAACATCACACTTTAGCTGGACAGGGGTTAGAGGTTTATTATCAGTCTATGCAAGACTAAAAATTCAAAGCAAATTCAATTTTGCATAAGGGAACATTGTAAAGTAAAAATTCTTGATATTACATGCCTCATATGATCCATTTCAAACCACAGAGAATTACATCTTTATGTGTCACTGTTCCAAGAGACAAACAAATGTGAACAGCTAAAACATTTTTAAAATGCACCAAACTTATGAAGTCTCAAACAAAACTTGAATTTTCTGTACATACTCCTGTCAAATGAAGTTATTTCCTGTACACCACTCCTCTTGCAAACTGGTCTTCTATTTCCTTTCATTTGACCTAGATCGGCAGTGAGACCTAGAGAAAGATCTGGACGGCTTGTGATTTCTCTCCTGGGACAGTGATCTCTCTCTTCTCCTATCTCTAGAAAGGGACCTGCTCCGGCTGCGGGAGAAGCTTCTCCATCTTGGAGATGTGTGGCGAGGTGGAGGACTCCTCCTCCAATAATCATCCCGAGGGCGACGACCCCAAGAAAGAGGCGGCCCACGATTTCGTCTTCTCTTTTCCCCATTCGACAGTTCCACTCTTACTCGGCGGTCACATAGTGTTCTCTCATCTAGCTCTTGGACAGCATCGGCTGCATCTCGGGATCTTCAAATTCAACAAAAGTGAAGCTGGGAGGGTTTCTAGCAACCCACACACTTTGGAGTGGTCCATAATAGCCAAAAGCTCTTTCCAATTCAGCCTTGTTACCATTGTTTCCAAGATTACCTACATAAACTTTACAGTCCAACAGACAGGAATCACGATGCATTTCAAGATCTCGGGTTAGAAACGCGAAGGCTCAAATCCACACACCCTCAGCTGGGTCTTCCCGGTCCCCTCCTGCCTGGCACCCGCAGATGCTCTCGCACACCCGTCGTCCACGAAATTGCTCTATGGCTGTTTTTGTCCTCAGTAGCAGAGTTGAGTAGTTGCAACAGAGACCATATGGCCCCAAATGTCTAAAACATTTACTATCTGGAACTTTACAGAAAAAGTTTGCTGACCCTTATCCAGGAGGATGGCAGAGCCGCTACTTGGAAAGAACCTGGTTCTAGAATTACTGTGGAGTGAGAAGGAAAATGATCTTTATTGTGCTAAGCCACTGAGGTTGTTATTTGTTACAGCAGCAGGTTACCTGTTACCTAACCAACCCACTGTGGATGTTTTGTGAAAGATATGTATATACAACTCTTCTACGCTTCACAGTGACTAGCTTTGGGGATTGTTTTTTATTTTTCAATTGAAGTTTAGTTGATTTACAATATTCTTTAGTTTTAGGTGTACAACATAGTAATTCAAAAATTTTATAGATTATACTGGATTTAAAGTTATTATAAAATATTGGCTATATTACCTGTGCTGTACAATATATCCTTGTAGCTTATTTATTTTATACATAGTAATTTGTGCCTCTTAATCCCCTGTGGCAATTGGTTTTGAATAAAGAATGTTATCAATAATAAGAAATCACTGATTTAGTTTCTCTGGAATATATTTAATTTTTAAATTGTATTAAATTATTTAATATAATATAGATATATTAAATTATTTAAAACATTTAGGTTTCCAAATTTACTAAGCATCTGCATTTCACTCAGTAACAAGAAGGCTGGATAGCTCTCACTGTTGTAGCAGCTTGTATCCTAAACTTTGGCCTGGGTAAATAGGAGGTAGAGTTGGGGGTTCAAAACCCTGGACTCCTAGCTTTCAGTCCCAAGCTGAAAATTCCTACCATGTAGAGATTATAAACTCAGAGGGACAATAAGGACTAATGAGAAGTTTATGTGAAAGTGCTTTGTAAAGTACAATGTCATGCAGGTGATATCTCAGAACTGAACACAGTGGGGAAGGAAGGCCACCTGGTGAAGATGGAGCAGAGCTCCTGGGCGCTCACCTCTCAGAGCAGGTCTGCTGAAGGACCGCTGGGGCTCCAAACAACTCATAATCCAAACCACAAAGTGGGCCAGACTAATGCTTTTTAGAAGTGTCTTAGCTATAATTTTAGATCTTCTTCAGTTCTATAAACTGATACTTTTCATTTAATCACTGAAACAAAATATACATGAAAACAGTATCTATTTCTTTCAAAAAGTTCTTAGCTACTAACTTCTCTTTTCACAACCTTGTGGTCTCATAGTTCTCAAGAACAAAGGGCTGAAAGACCAAACTTTTCACTGTTGGTAATTATATTTTCATAGGTATATATTGCATTTACATTGAATTTAGTTTCTTAATTTTTCCTCATTAAACACACACAGACAGGGACCAGGAGTCCTGCTCCTGTACCAAATCACTGCCTTTAACTGCCATGGAATTAAATCTAGTCAAAAGAACCTCTTCTCCTCAGAGAAGTAAATAAAGGATAAGGGGTGCTTTGACTACTGGTTCTGCAGTGTTTGGCCAACTGCAGTCCTCTCCCCTTCTGACAGCCCTGAGAGTCCAGGCGAGGTGGGAGAATGTGAACTTGCAGTTTGCGCCGGCCTGATCTGAGAACATAGGCTCATGGAAGTGTAAAGTTGGGCTCATCAGGGCTGGAGTTTTGCCAGGGGGCATAATGAAAGGATGAGTCGTGGCATTTGAGGACATTGGTAAGAGAGTAGCTGAAGTGATGACTGGAAATGAAAACTGAATAGAGAAGAAAGTAAAGATAGGAGGAGCTGATCAAGTAACACATGTACTAGTTAGAATAACCGAGAAAGGGATGTGGGAAAATACAAGGTTGTGGTGAAAAAGTGAGATTTCACATTTCAGAGGTGGAGAAATGTTCAGGGTAAAGACAAGACCTAGGGTGAAGCCATAAGTATGGGTCACAGAAATGAAGTGAGGTGAGCGTCGCTGGATCTGAGGAAGTGAAGGAACCCAGAAGCAACAGGGCTGGGTTATTCAGGGCTGAATTATTCACACAGAGGATGAAGACAACCAGATGGCAGCAGGATTTGGGCCACAGAGGATAACTGTGAGCCAGGTACTAAAATGAGGGCAAAGCAGGGGAGCACTGACAGTAATGAGGAGGGATAAAGTGATACGACTGGATGGCAGGACCACAGAGGAGAGTGTCCTGAAAGGGGTAATGGTCTGAGAGGGGAACTGGGAAGTGACAGTGAGGTCCATGGAGTGTGGGAGAAGCAACAGCATTCTCTTGACGGGGCTGCAGGAGAAGCAGGTGCCCAGGGTAAGCCAGGTTTCAGGCAGGAGACAGAGGGGGAGCCATTAGTAAACCAGATGAGGCTGTAGGCATGTTCCAGATGAAGAAGGGGGAAATGACGAACTCTCTCACTTTACTTTTATCCACGTTGTCTTCTACACAGTTTAAATGCCTTTTCAAATATCTTTCAGAACAATGTGGGGTATATTTAAAAAAAAACAACCTTAAACTTTTAAACATTCCATGCTAGACACAAACCTGAAGTATTTTTTAAAAGCTCACAATAAGGAAATAGGGAAATTCTCAAATGATGGTTGACAAACACAATACTGCTAAACTTAAAACTTTTACTATTATTTTTCATTAATTATTCTTGGCTTGAAGGAATACAAGGAAGAAGAAAGAGGTAAGTACATAACTGGGAACAAATATTGGTGTTGCTGAAAGAGTATAAAAAAGGGATACTCATAGTTCTTTGTCACACTATTTATCCATCTCCTTAAAAAATCACAAGTGAACAATGTGTTTGCATTAAAGACACACTATTTTATTCCCAAACTTGACCGAAACCACAACAGACTAAGAAGATGTAGAGAGGGCTCTTCCCCTCCAAGCTGGGTTGGTGTTAGAGAACGGGTGAGGGTTAAGAAAGTTGATGCTTTTAGTAAACTTTGGACCTCCTTCCCCAGAAGACAGTATACAAGCTAATACATAAAACATTTCACTTACTATTTCAGGAGGTTTGGAATCTACCCAAGACCATTCTTGGGCCAAGACTAAGAGAAAGTGAAGTTTAGGAAAGTGGCCTGAAGGAAGCAATCAGAGAGCTAGCTTCTGAGGAAAGAAGACATTTTGTTTGAGAAATTTTCTAGGGGAAAAAGTAGGGAAGCCACTATTTCAGAGTTCAGATGAATTTGAGGATAGTGGTTTTGAACAAGGAGAAGTGAATGGATGCAAGGACCAGAAAGATATAGCCTTCATTCCAAATCCCTAGCTATAGGAGTGACAGAACACACTTTGAAATGTGCAACATATTAATAATCATTGTTGGGAAATCCAGGAATGAGAGATACGGAAGAGGTAGAAATGAGTTCAAAAATGCCCAGAGTCTGGAATCAGACAGACCTACATTAGACGACTTGGGTTTCATTAGCTCGCTGTTGAGCAGGTTAGTGTTTCTAGGCCTCACATATAAAGTAAAGATAGTTCATGGGCTGGAGTGAAAATTAAGTTAGCTAAAACAAGTGATATGTTTAGCAAACAGCCTGGCACCTGGTGGCCCTAAGCAAATGGTAATACTTTACATGTGCAGATTTCGGGAGTGACATTACCCATGTTCTTACCAAGAATGCCAACAGAAGAGATGGGCCGTGCCAATGCTGTTTTCCAGGATGCTCCAGAGGGAGTGGACCACTTATTTGTGGTCCTCTCTGCCAAGAAAGAATACTGCAGGGCTCTAGCCTGCCCTGATCTCTGAAGGTACACATACAGCTCCTCTTCCTTCTTGATGCCCACCTCATAGGGATACTGGACAGCGGCCTGGACTGCACGGATGGAAGTCTCCTGAGAAAGGCACCCAGGGTGCTGCTTCCGCATCTTCAGAAGGGCTTCATTGAAAATGGTGTCCATGTTGGACAAGCTCTGGATCGGCTTGTTGTAGATTCTACGGGATTCCAGAGATTGATCTGAAAGAAATAAGAAAGAAAATTTGGAAATGTTACCTATACCAAGGGAATATGTGTATATAACGATAGTAATAACTTGTTCAAATTCAAAATATGAAATTAAATACTATTCTTCAAGATATTTAATGTAACACAATTACCAAAATCTCTGACATCTTTGCAACTTAGTACCATAAGATAGAATTTAATAGATTCAAAGCAATTTCCAGTTACCTAATTGAGGCATAAAAGTTACACTTTCTTTTTACTTCAAGGCCAAGATAATATTATGATAGATTAATTATATTAATCTGTCAGTGAGCTTAAGGAAAATCGTTCTGAGTTAATAATATTTTAGGTTCAAAATAATTTTAACTCCATTCTTAACAGTAACAAAAACTTTAAAATACCTAGAAAAGGAGACAGTGTACTACCGGCACAAGGATAGAGATACAAATCAATGGAGAGAATTGAGAGTTCAAAAACAAATCCTTATAATCACTGCCAATTGATTTTCAACACAGGTGCCAAAACAATTTAATGAGAGAAAGCAGATTCTGAGGACAACTGGATATCCACATGAAACAAACAAACTTAGATCCTTACCTAGCACCATATATAAAAATTAATTCAAAATGGATCATAAATCTAAATTGAAGAGCTAAAACTATAAAAATTTCTAAATAAAAAAAAAGAAAAATCTTTATGACCTTTGGTTAGGCAAAGTATTCTTAGCACAATCCTTGAAAGAAAAAAATCAGTAAGTTGGACTTCATCAAAATTAAAGACTTTTGTACTTCAGAGAACACCATTAGCAAATGAAATGAAATGAAATGATAAACCATAGACTGGGAGAAAATATTTGTGTGGTAGGCAAAATAACACCCTCCCCAAATGTCTACTTCCTAATCCCCAGAACCTGTGAATATATTACCTTACATGGCAAAGAGACTCTACAGATGTGATTAAGGTTAAAGACCTCAAAATGTGAAGATTACCGTGTATTATCCAGGTGGGCCCAATCTAATTACGTGAATACTTAAAAGAGGAGAGCCTTTCCCAGCTGGAGTGAGAGAGGAAGAGTCAGAGAGATGCAACACAGGAAGGACTGGCTCCATGGATGACAATCTGGCTATGAACATGGTGGAAGGGGGCCAAGAGCCAAGGAATGCAGTGACCTCTAGAAGCTAGGAATGGCCATCAGTTTACAACCTGCAAAAACATGGAGACCTTGGTCCTACAACACAAGTACTGAATTCTGCCAACAACCCGAGTGAGCAGTAAACAGATTCTCCCTTAGAGCCTTCAGAAAGGAGTGCAGCTGCTGACACCTGGGTTTAGTCCAGTGAGACCCCTACCAGACTTCTGACCTATAGGTCACTAAGTAATACATTTGTGTTGTTAAAACTGCTGAGCTTGTGGTAATTTGTTATCAAGCAGTAGAAAATGAATACAATTTGCATACAGAATATCTAATTAAGTATTTGTATCCAGAGTAAATAAAGACCTCTTATGACTCAATAATAAGAAGGCAAACAACTCAATTTTATTTATTTATTTGTTTGTTTTTTGGTTTTTTTTTTAACATCTTTATTGGGGTATAATTGCTTTACAATGGTGTGTTAGTTTCTGCTTTATAACAGAGTGAGTCAGTTATACATATATATATGTTCCCATATCTCTTCCCTCTTTGTCTCCCTCCCTCCCACCCTCCCTATCCCACCCCTCCAGACAGCCACAAAGAACCGAGCAGGTTTCCCTGTGCCATGCGGCTGCTTCCCACTGGCTATCTACCTTACGTTTGTTAGTATATATATGTCCATGTCTCTCTCTTGCCCTAACACACCTCACCCTTCCCCCTCCCCATATCCTCAAGTCTGTTCTCCAGTAGGTCTGTGTCTTTATTCCTGTTTTACCCCTAGGTTCTTCATAACATTTTTTTTTCTTAAATTCCATATATATGTGTTAGCATACGGTATTTGTCCTTCTCTTTCTGACTTACTTCACTCCGTATGACAGACTCTAGATCTATCCACCTCATTACAAATAGCTCAATTTCGTTTCTTTTTATGGCTGAGTAATATTCCATTGTATATATGTGCCACATCTTCTTTATCCATTCATCCGACGACGGGCACTTAGGTTGTTTCCATCTCCGGGCTATTGTAAATAGAGCTGCAATGAACATTTTGGTACATGACTCTTTCTGAATTCTGGTTTCCTCAGGGTATATACCTAGTAGTGGGATTGCTGGGTCATATGGTAGTTCTATTTGTAGTTTTTTAAGGAACCTCCATACTGTTCTCCATAGTGGCTGAACCAATTCACATTCCCACCAGCAGTGCAAGAGTGTTCCCTTTTCTCCACACCCTCTCCAGCATTTATTGTTTCTAGATTTTTTGATGATGGCCATTCTGACTGGTGTGAGATGATATCTCATTGTAGTTTTGATTTGCATTTCTCTAATGATTAATGATGTTGAGCATTCTTTCATGTGTTTGTTGGCAGTCTGTATATCTTCTTTGGAGAAATGTCTATTTAGGTCTTCTGCCCATTTTTGGATTGGGTTGTTTATTTTTTTGTTATTGAGCTGCATGAGCTGCCTGTAAATTTTAGAGATTAATCCTTTGTCAGTTGATTCATTTGCAAATATTTTCTCCCATTCTGAGGGCTGTCTTTTGGTCTTGTTTATGGTTTCCTTTGCTGTGCAAAAGCTTTGAAGTTTCATTAGGTCCCATTTGTTTATTTTTGTTTTTATCTCCATTACTCTAGGAGATGGGTCAAGAAGGATCTTGCTGTGATTTATGTCATAGAGTGTTCTGCCTATGTTTTCCTCTAAGAGTTTGATAGTTTCTGGCCTTACATTTAGGTCTTTAATCCATTTTGAGCTTATTTTTGTGTATGGTGTTAGGGAGTGATCTAATCTCATACTTTTACATGTACCTATCCAATTTTCCCAGCACCACTTATTGAAGAGGCTGTCCTTTCTCCACTGTATATTCCTGCCACCTTTATCAAAGATAAGGTGACCATATGTGCATGGGTTTATCTCTGGGCTTTCTATCCTATTCCATTGATCTATCTTTCTGTTTTTGTGCCAGTACCATACTGTCTTGATTACTGTAGCTTTGTAGTATAGTCTGAAGTCAGGCAGCCTGATTCCTCCAGCTCCATTTTTTGTTCTCAAGATTGCTTTGGCTATTCGGGGTCTTTTGTGTTTCCATACAAATTGTGAAATTTTTTGTTCTAGTTCTGTGAAAAATGCCAGTGGTAGTTTGATAGGGATTGCATTGAATCTATAGATTGCTTTGGGAAGTAGAGTCATTTTCACAATGTTGATTCTTCCAATCCAAGAACATGGTATATCTCTCCATCTGTTTGTATCATCTTTAATTTCTTTCATCAGTGTCTTATAATTTTCTGCATACAGGTCTTTTGTCTCCTTAGGTAGGTTTATTCCTAGATATTTTATTCTTTTTGTTGCAATGGTAAATGGGAGTGTTTTCTTGATTTCACTTTCAGATTTTTCATCATTAGTATATAGGAATGCCAGAGATTTCTGTGCATTAATTTTGTATCCTGCTACTTTACCAAATTCATTGATTAGCTCTAGTAGTTTTCTGGTAGCATCTTTAGGATTCTCTATGTATAGTATCATGTCATCTGCAAACAGTGACAGCTTTACTTCTTCTTTTCCGATTTGGATTCCTTTTATTTCCTTTTCTTCTCTGATTGCTGTGGCTAAAACTTCCAAAACTATGTTGAATAAGAGTGGTGAGAGTGGGCAACCTTGTCTTGTTCCTGACCTTAGTGGAAATGCTTTCAGTTTTTCGCCATTGAGGATGATGTTGGCTGTGGGCTTGTCATATACGGCCTTTATTATATTGAGGAAAGTTCCCTCTACACCTACTTTCTGCAGGGTTTTTATCATAAATGGGTGTTGAATTTTGTCAAAAGCTTTCTCTGCATCTATTGAGATGATCATATGGTTTTTCTCCTTCAATTTGTTAATATGGTTAATCACATTGATAGATTTGCGTATATTGAAGAATCCTTGCATTCCTGGAATAAACCCCACTTGATCATGGTGTATGATCCTTTTAATGTGCTGTTGGATTCTGTTTGCTAGTATTTTGTTGAGGATTTTTGCATCTATGTTCATCAGTGATATTGGCCTGTAGTTTTCTTTCTTTGTGACATCCTTGTCTGGTTTTGGTATCAAGGTGATGGTGGCCTCGTAGAATGAGTTTGGGAGTGTTCCTCCCTCTGCTATATTTTGGAAGAGTTTGAGAAGAATAGGTGTTAGCTCTTCTCTAAATGTTTGATAGAATTCGCCTGTGAAGCCATCTGGTCCTGGGCTTTTGTTTGTTGGAAGATTTTTAATCACAGTTTCAATTTCAGTGTTTGTGATTGGTCTGTTCATATTTTCTATTTCTTCCTGATTCAGTCTTGGCAGTTTGTGCATTTCTAAGAATTTGTCCATTTCTTCCAGATTGTCCATTTTATTGGCATAGAGTTGCTTGTAGTAATCCCTCATGATTTTTTGTATTTCTGCAGTGTCAGTTGTTACTTCTCCTTTTTCATTTCTGATTCTATTGATTTGAGTCTTCTCCCTTATTTTCTTGATGAGTCTGGCTAATGGTTTATCAATTTTGTTAATCTTCTCAAAGAACCAGCTTTTAGTTTTATTGATCTTTGCTATTGTTTCCTTCATTTCTTTTTCATTTATTTCTGATCTGATTTTTATGATTTCTTTCCTTCTGCTAACTCTGGGGTTTTTTTGTTCTTCTTTCTCTAATTGCTTGAGGTGCAAGGTTAGGTTGTTTATTCGAGATGTTTCCTGCTTCTTAAGGTGGGCTTGTATTGCTATAAACTTCCCTCTTAGAACTGCTTTTGCTGCATCCCATAGGTTTTGGGTCGTTGTATCTCCATTGTCATTTGTTTCTAGGTATTTTTTAATTTCCTCTTTGATTTCTTCAGTGATCACTTCGTTACTAAGTAGTGTATTGTTTAGCCTCCAT